AAGAATAATCAATTCGTTTTTGAATTATAGAAGAATAATCAATTCGTTTTTGAATTGTAGAAGAATAATTGCGTTTGATGTAGAGAAGCTAAATTTGAAATGAAACTGACGAAGAAGATTAATGTGCGTGATTTGCGTTTAGAAGATCTGGAAGAATATTCAGTCAAAATTAAGTCTAATCTTCACCAAAACCCCTCAAAATTGAGATATAAACTCCAAACCATATTCCCAATTATTTTCAACAACCCCAATCCAAACAAATAATGATTTTTGAAAACCCAAATTTGAATTCAAAGCTTTCAAGCTTTTTAATGGCTGTCAACGGTGGAATTGCTGCTCTCTTTTCCTATGCTTTGTATTACTGAAATTTGGACATAATTGTGCTTGATGTAGAACTATAGAAGATTTAGTCATTTTTTATTTGTGAATTGTAAAAGAATAATCAATTCGTTTTTGAATTATAGAAGAATAATCAATTCGTTTTTGAATTGTAGAAGAATAATTGCGTTTGATGTAGAGAAGCTAAATTTGAAACGAAACTGACGAAGAAGATTAATGTGCGTGATTTGCGTTTGGAAGATCTGGAAGAATATTTGATCCCTCAATTTTAGCCCCTAAATAAGGAAGCCTACAGCTACAATGATTCCTTATTTAATGCATGATCTATATTTTGTAGAAATACTATTAGCATGAATGGTAATATGCAAACTATGAACATATTTGGTAATATAGTTTCATATATGGTACATATACGAAAATTTCCCATAATAAAAACTCTAAAAGTATGTCTTTAATAGTGGGCTAAAGGCTGAAAAGTTTTTTTTCAAGGTATGTACAACATGGGCTAAATAAGATAAGAGCTTCAAATGTGGGCCATTTTCGGTTGGGCTATTAGGCCAAGTGACATGGGCTATAATTCTTTCTAAAATAAACTTTAAGTTATAGTATATACACATACCAATCACCAACCAACGATTTTTCTACCTATACCCCCAAAAAGGGGGGAAAAAGAGAAAGAGTACATTCCCCTCTGAACTAAAGGCGTGGTGTTATTGACAGGCATCACCATGAAAAACCTATATATAAACATATAAAGCTCTACCAGGTAATTTGCTTTATTTCTTTTCAGACCTAGATAAGACCCCTAAATAAAATGAATGATATGCTGAAACCATACAACCAATTAATAAATAAAATGAAATACCTTAAACTATACTACTCTATGGTGCACTCTCAACTAAGTACCACAAGGCAGGCAACAGATTCTTCCTATCCTCGTGAAAAGCCACTGTAACGGATTTGGACCATCGCTTTGCTCAGAAGGTGGGGTTGGCAATGGCATTTCTGGAGGCAAATGCCGGTGGAAAGCATCAACTGCACCTGCAACGCCATCTTCGTTCTCTAATAATACAGCTAGTTCCATTGCTCGGGATTTCACCTGTATATGCAATTTTCTATCAGTGAGCAGATAAAAGTATGCAGCGAGCATGCACTTTGCTCTGCAGTGATCAGTTGCAGAAAGTAGTAGTTTTGGAGTACGCAATTAGATATCGAGATGCAAAGGTTCTTACATCAGGCTGGAGCATAAAAGTTATAGCATCAGAGAGTCCTTCCACACTAAGCTGTGATATAGGAATAGGAGCAGGTCCCAGTCCCTTCTGATAAATTCTTTCGCCCCAAAAGAATTGATCACCAAAGAATGGTACTATAGTTGTTGGACACTGGATTTAAAAATTGCAAGCATGGCATAAGACTATCTGGGCTTTCAAATATAACTCAGCAGTGCAAAATATCGAGCAAATCTGATGGACATCTATGCCGATATTTAGGTCAACCATTTATAATGCTACTACTGATATGAGATCGAGAAAGAGTATTACCCCAGCACGTAGTCCTGTTGCTGTGGTTCCAGCACCGCCGTGATGAACCTGCAAGCAGGTATTTACCACGAGTACATCAGAAATTGTATTTGTCACTTTTATCATCACAATCCAGACATCGAAAAGACTGGAGATAAAAATGTCAGTTATACAAGTGTGTGTAGAATCCCTTATAACCAAGGGTTGAACATCAGTTTATCATAAGTTTTATCCCATCTCCATAGGTAACTCATATATTGTCAGGCAAAGTACTCACCACAGCTGAACATTGAGGAAAAAGCCAATCATGAGGGCACTCCGTGAGAAGGAAAACATTTTCAGGAATCTCTTGAACTGTAACATCAGATCAAACAAAAGAAAAAATACGAAGAGACGATGTTTCTCAATGTTAGAACATTTCCACATGCAATCCATTACAAATGAATGGAACAAATAATACAACAGTTCACCTCAGTAAGTGACGTCCATTCAGTAATATAATGTGAAAATACACATATTCCTGGTCTATCTGCTTAATGTTTTATGTTATCGAAACCCCAGCCCAAATCCATACCACCATCCTAGGCCCTGAACTTTATCTCTCTTTGTTGTGTAAGTAATTGGCCTTGGAATATGTTTTTGGGTTGTGCATTAGGAGTTAACGGGAAAGCTAAGGGAGATTTGTTATGCCAGTTAAATGGCTTATGTATGGAGAATTTTATTTGACAGACCGTCCCCTCACATCTTTTTTCTTCGAAGATTTAGCTTTATCTTCAACCTAGATATGATCAATTTCAAGGTTAGTCAGAAACGTGCAGAACGCAATAAAATGAACAAAAAATGCAAGAAAGAGAGAACTTACAAGTACCAAGATCTCCCCAACCTCGGTCAATGATTCCCCTCTGCCCAGTATTCTTCAGTGCCTCCAAAATTATATCTGTAGTTTTCGGGGAATCCTCAAGAGGCTTCAAACAGAAAAAAAGGAATCAGAAAGTAGGACATAGCAGAAACAAAAATGAAGTATGAGACTAAAGTGTTAGTCATATTACCAGATTGCATAACTTTTAATTGACACGAATACCAAATATCTTACACATTCTACATACTTTAACAATTAAAGTTGATTAGACAAAAATACAGTCAGATAGACAGAAGCTGGTGCACATCCACTATTGATGCAAGTTTATCACGTATAAATTGGATCAGTTAAACTAATACCCTCACGCAACTGCCAGTGGAAAACTAAGTATTCCACCTAGAAACCTAGAAATAAGTTATTTCTATATTATACAAGGAAAACGACTGGGGAATATGTCGCAAGAGTGGGATTAAAGGATTGTCTGATTCTTCGACAGAGGAATTCTTGAAGTTATGTTAGAAAAACTAACCATGCTCCCAAACCCAATATATACGGGTTTAGACCCGTTTTGGATCCACTTGATAAATTCTTCTGGAGGTTGGTAATTACTCCCAAGGTTTAGGAAGCAATAGCCAACTACATCAACCAAAGGGCCCCAATCTGCAAATTAAGGAAATTTCATCAATACATTTTATGACAAATCAAGTAGATTGACAATATGAGCAGACATTACTGCTAAGACCAATGGCTGAAGTAGAACATGAAAAGGCAGAAAAGAGCTTTTCATGAATCCAGGACGCGCGCAAGAAGATAGACTAGCATAAAAATACTTTTTTCTAAATTGGAGAGCCCCTATATTCCACAAGAAATTGAGGACCATCCATATTGATTTGGCTCATATTGATGACATCTGAAAATGGTTTAAAGTGCTATATCAATTGGTCCTCTAGGAGACAATGTTGAAGGAAATGTACTTGAAATATAAAGGCTGTTTACTAACCCGATTCAGCACTTAAACTTGAACGTATGAAGTGATTAGATATTAACCATGTTTAACAACGGGATGAGAAGATTACTCAATAATTAAGTTCCACGTCAATGCTTCAAAACTTTTAAGTGATATACACTTGATATTGCTGGATCTCATCAAACACTAAATGTCATTTAACAACTCCTAAAGAATCTATTAAAATCAAATTTAGCAGCCTACCTGATGAAATATTCAAAAAATAAACGATAATTAATAATATATATATATATAGGTACACACAAATAAATACTTTAAAACAAAACTCTATTATTAAGTAAAATTAATTTTAATTCATAATATATAAATAACAAAAACACATACATATATAAGTCATTACGTTTCATTTAATTTCCTATCTGTCAAGTCGCTTCTAGTTTCCGATCTATCCATGAAAGAGAATAAAATCACAATGAAAACCTTGAGACAGTGTAACCTGATACTTTCAATAATTAAAATACAATGACTTCAATTTATTCTGTAAAATAGAATACACAGCTCCAGGCATCATATTTAACTTTATTAAAAAGCCACTTGGTAAATCACTTGCTCTACGGTACTCTTGCTATCAGCTATCTGGTTAGGACACCTACCACATGATCGCTATCGAATTCATGCACCAATCAACAAACAAAATTATCAGGCATTTGCAACAGAGAATGAATGCACACAAGCGGATACAAAAATCCAGGAAGTAAAATAGCAGAAATGATCAGAGGGTGCCAAGCAAATAAAAGAAAAGTGAAAAAGAACAATACACAGAAAACCAGCATCCAGACACAAACGAGGAGATGATATGTACCTTTAGGTTTTGGCACAACATGGGGACTCCAGATGTAGCCAGTTGGGAAGTGAGAAATTGATCCATGGTACGTACTGAAGTAGGCTATAGGAGGAAGATTCAGCTTCTTTTTCCTAAACTCATTGATGTAACTTCTTATGCCCCACCAGATCAGCAAATCCACAACTATGTAAGATAGCTGAACCGGAAAGAAAAAAATATAGGATTTTGACAGGACTCAGAAGCATTAATGGCAGAACATTTTTCAGAAGAAATTGATAACATACCCAATACCCAGCAGCTTGAGGTACACGAGCCAGCGGGTGAGGAAATTCATAAGTTGGCCTGTCTATTAACAGAGTGTTAAGAGGTATCATATCAAAAATATTAAGGTCAAGCAAGCTTAATACAAACGAACAAATGGGAGAATTTGATGAAGAATGAACTCAGCAACGGATTCACATTACATTCTATGTGCAAAACAGCTCTTCCAACTGGTCTATAAAGCCTCCCATTTCAGAACAACATTGGGAACTTGCACCTAATCTTTTTACTCTCACAAACTTCTAAGTGGTGTTTGGTTCAAAATATTGAAAAACAGTTTTTGCAAAAACTGTGTTTCATCACAGCTCCACTAAAGAAAAGTTTGAGTTTTTGCAAGAACAGTGTTCCCACAGAAACTCCACCAAAGAAAAGTTTGAGTTTTTGCAAGAACAGTGTTCCCACAGAAACTCCACCAAAGAAAAGTTTGAGTTTTTGCAAGAACAGTGTTCCCACAGAAACTCCACCAAAGGAAAGTATGAGTTTTTGCAAAAACTCGTACTTTTCTTTGGTGGAGTCTGTTTGAGTAACTTGAAATAATTTTGTCGAGCCTGTTTTCCAATTATTCGAACCAAACGCCACCTTAGAATGGCTGATATCATGTGGGTCAATGGAACACATATCAGAGATTCAGCTAATATGAACACATACTACACCTGATCTTAGCCAAAAGGCCGAGAAAGGTATCTACCTTAGAATGGTCTATTCAACATCAAATCTAGAAAACAGTCACATAGTGCAGAACATCTACCTACAATGAATTGGGCTTTTCTCAAAGAGGAAGTTAAAATAAATAGAAATCAAATAGCGGTACTTTGTTTCACCAATGATTTATAAGAGGAATGGACTTTACAAGGTTGCACGTAGACCACTACAATAAGTGCAGTTACATCCACTTGCCAAATGTCAAACAAAATATCCGATATAATGAAGAAAACCTAAATTAGAACTTACGTCCAGGGCATTGTAAAGAAGATGTGGAGGGGTACCCCAAGAGCTTCAGCGACGTGTGCATGTCCTGTCATAAAGGGTGTTCCAGAAAAGCAAAACAATGGTTATAAGTTGACTTGGACCTAAATACCATTTTGTTGACTTTATTTTGATAGGTAAAATTTACTAACAAAAATAGCACCAAGAGGTTGCTGAAATCTGTACAGTGATGAAGGACTAGAACTAACTATGACAGAGGGAGTTTATAAAGTACAGGAAAGCACCAAAATGAATACTTTGTGGACCATTGAGGAAAACCAATCAAGCAGTTTATAGTTTATTTGACATTTATTTATAGAGCATAATGTGATGACCCGCCATGTCATCATGCCACATAGACGCCATTTGGCATATATTAATGCCATGTGGAAGACATAAGAGGAAGGCTAGCATTTGTGAGAAGATTCTAGAGAAATATGGATATTTCCTTAGGAAGACCGTAGATCCTTATGGATTTGCTAGGAAAGTCCTTGGAATCTTCTAGGCTTGTAGAAAATTCTAGAGAAGGGACTTACTTGTAAATATTAAGGACTTGTGGAACAATTATTATTTACACACTAGCCCCTAGGTGATTAGTATAAATAGGGGGGCCATTCATTTGTAATTCATCAAGAAAACAATTCAAGTTCTCTCTAATACAAAGCTTCCTTTAGCAATTCTCTTGTGTTCTTTCTACCATTCTCTTGGCGATCTTGAGTGTAGTAAGGCTGACTTGGCATAGCAAGAACGTGAGCAAGTTGTGCAAGATCGTGAGCGAGTTGTCAAGTGCCGCACGTGTACTTAGCTAACGACTAAGGACGTGACAATGTGGTATCAGAGCAAAGGTTGCAACTAAGGGAATGGCGAACGACAGAGAAATTAACGTTACCAACACCCAAGCCAACGTCATCCAGGATGCTGCTGGCAAGAGCGGCCGTAACAAAAAGAGGAATGCCACCAACAAGAGCCAGGAGGTGCCAACCGAGGTTGTGTCAAACGAAGGGCTTACATCCCAAGAACCATCTGCCACTGAGGCGAGCGAGGATGAAGTGGAGGTCCTGCCTGAGGACGTCTCGCTCGGCAAAGAGTGGGTGATGAAGATGAACGCGGGGATGGACGCCGTAGAGATCTTTGGCCAACGCTTGGGGAGGATGGAAGGCACCCTTAGCGTTCTTGAGGGGCACACTCTTGAAGAGATTAAGAGTATCTGAAATGACTTGGAGGGACGTACACAGACCGAGATGGAACTAAGGCAAACCATCACTACCTTAGAGTGCAAACTCATCGAGGCTTTGAGTACTATCGATGCTATGAAGGCAAAGATAGAGTCACTCGAGGAGCATGTCAATGCTGGCGTGACCGAGGTAGCTAGCAATATTGTAGTGACGAGGGAGGCCAAGATCGAGGCTCCCAAACCCCAGGTGTTCAAAGGCGTTCGTGATGCATAAGAAGTGGAAAACTTCATTTGGCACTTGGAGAACTACTTCAGGCACGAAAAAGTGAGGGACAATGAGGCCAAGATCAACACTACCGTGTTGTACCTCTCAGAGACTACCATGCTGTGGTGGAGAAGGAAGATAGCCGACGTGGATAAAGGTCTATGTACTATTAGCACGTGGGATCAGTTCAAAGCCGAGTTCAAGCGACAGATCTTTCCAAACAATGTCTTGTACGAGGCAAGGCGCAAGCTCAAGGAGTTGAAGCAAACAGGGAGCATACGTGACTATGTCAAGCAGTTCACTACCCTTATGCTTCAAATTCCCAACCTGACCAATGATGACCTGTTGTTCCACTTCATGGACGGGTTGCAAAATTGGGCTAAACAGGAGTTACAACGTCGGAGAGTCGCGGATATAGACCAAGCCATAGTGGAGGCTGAATCATTGATGGATTTCAGGTATGACAAGCACGACAAAGGCAAAGGCAAGGAGTTAAAGGTTAGGTATGTCAAAGGTGGGGGAGACCGTGGCAAAGGCAAAGAGATACAACAACAATACTCGAAGACTCAAGATTCCAAAAAGTCGAGTGGCCGTCAGGGCTACGCCGAGAAGAAGGCGCAGGCCGAGAAGAAGGGATGCTATATATGCGGAGGGCCACACGGCTTCAGGAATTGTCCTAACCTCAAGAGCCTCAATGCCATGGTCCGTGAACGGAAGGAGCAGCCACAAGGAGAGAGTCCGGGAACAACACAGTTGGGTATGATCGGATTATGTGGTGCTGTCACGAAGCAAGCTATCCAACCTACCGAGAATGGAAATCAGTACGTGGATCTCACCATCAACAACAAGCCCGCTCGTGCAATGGTGGATACTGGAGCAACTCATAATTTCGTAACTGAGGCTGCCGCAAAGAGACTAGAATTGAAGCTTGCTCCAACCAACTCTCGCGTCAAGACCGTGAATGCCGAGGTACAAAATGCTCGTGGGGTAGCTAATGGAGTTGGTGTCAAATTGGGAACTTGGAAAGGTATGACAAACTTTACCGTAACCGCTATGGATATCTTTGACATCATACTGGGGCAAGAGTTCTTTAGACGTTGTCATACTTTGATCGACCCCTACCTCCAACGTCTCTTGGTTATGGAGCGAGAAAGAGCTTGCATGGTGCCTACGGTGACTATGCCACACGGACAAATCCAAGCACAACTCTCAGCTATGCAGGTTGTCAAGGGGATCAAGAAAGGGGAGCCGACGTTTGTGGCAACCATTGCAAGTCTAGAGGAAGACAAGAATTTTCAAGAGATAGTGCCGCCTTGCATATAGAAGTTGCTTGAGGAAAACAAAGATGTCATGCCCGAGGAGTTGCTTAAGAACTTGCCGCCTAGGCGAGAGGTGGATCACAAGATTGAGTTGGAGCCAGGGGCTAAGCCACCCGCATTTGCCCCATATCGTATGGCACCGCCCGAGCTAGAGGAGCTTAGGAAACAATTGAAAGAGTTGGTAGATCCTGGTCATATTCGCCCATCAAAGGCACCTTTTGGCGCACCAGTATTGTTCCAGAAGAAGAAGGATGGATCATTGCGTTTGTGCATAGACTACCGAGCACTTAATAAGGTCACAGTGAAAAATAAGTACCCGATCCCGCTCATTGCTGACTTGTTCGATAGACTTGGGCAAGTCAAGTACTTTACCAAGGTGGATCTTCGAAAGGGCTACTACCAGGTTCGCATTGCGGAAGGGGATGAGCCAAAGACAGCATGTGTGACGAGATATGGAGCCTTTGAGTGGTTGGTGATGCCCTTCGGCTTAACCAATGCACCGGCCACATTTTGCACCCTTATGAACAAGATTTTCCATCCCTACCTTGATCAGTTCGTGGTAGTCTACCTAGACGACATAGTCATCTACAGCAACACCTTGGAGGAGCACATGGAGCACTTAAGGAAGGTTTTCCAAGTCTTGCGGGAGAACGAGCTATACATCAAGAGGGAGAAATGAGTTTGCACAATCAAAGGTGCACTTCTTGGGCCATGTCATTAGCAATGGAGAGCTACGCATGGATGAGGCTAAGGTACGTGCTATCCAGGAGTGGGAGGCACCTACAAAGGTAACTGAGTTGAGATCCTTCCTTGGCCTTGTTAACTACTATCGTCGGTTCATCAGTGGCTACTCAGCAAAGGCCGCACCATTGACTGAGTTGCTAAAGAAGAACAAGCCATGGGTTTGGACGGAGCATTGTCAAAAGGCATTTGAAGGCCTTAAGGCAGCTGTAATAGAGGAGCCAGTCTTGGCGTTACCTGACTTTGCCAAGACATTTGAGGTGCACACAGATGCCTCAGACTTCGCCATTGGGGGTGTCCTGATGCAGGATAAGCATCCCATAGCGTTTGAGAGCCGGAAGTTAAATGAGACGGAGCGGCGTTACACGGTGCAAGAAAAGGAAATGACTGTCATTGTGCATTGCCTTCGTACATGGCGACATTATGTGCTCGGGTCGAGGTTCGTGGTCAAGACCGACAATGTGGCTGTTAGCTACTTTCAGACGCAGAAGAAGCTCACACCAAAACAGGCTAGGTGGCAAGACTTCTTGGCCGAGTTTAATTATGTGCTAGAGTACAAGCCGGCAAAGGTAATGTTGTAGCTGATGCCTTGAGCCGGAAAGCCGAGCTTGCTGCCATCACTTCAGCAACTTGGGACATTCGTGAGGCTATAAAAGAAGGCATGCAACATGATCCGGCAGCCAAACAACTTATCGAGTTAGCCAACCAGGGCAAGACGAGACGTTTTTGGGTAGAAGACGGCCTATTGCTTACCACGGGACGGCGGGTCTACGTGCCTAAGTTTGGAGACATTAGACGGTGGATCATAAGGGAGAGTCATGATACAATGTGGGCTGGTCATCCAGGCCAACGTCGCACCAGGGCCTTGGTTGAGTCAGTCTACTATTAGCCACGCATGCGAGATGATATAGAATGTTATGTGCAGACTTGTCTCGTATGTCAGCATGACAAGGTTGAGCAACAACAACCCGCAGGACTTTTGGAGCCACTACCAGTTGCAGAGCGTCCATGGGAGAGCGTGACTATGGACTTTATCACTTGCCTACCAAAGTCCGACGGTTATGGTACTATTATGGTGGTCGTGGATAGATTTTCTAAATATGCCACCTTCACGCCCGCCTCACCAGGTTGCACAGCCAAGGAAGCCGCCAAGCTATTCTTTAAGAACGTGGTGAAGTATTGGGGCTTACCAAGGCATATAATCAGTGATCGAGACCCCCGCTTTACTGGAAACTTTTGGAGAGAGTTGTTCGACATACTTGGCACGGAGCTGCACTTTTCTACTAGTTTCCACCCACAGACGGATGGATAAACGGAACGAGTCAATGCCTAACTAGAATGCTACTTGAGGCATTATGTAAGCGCGCATCAGAAAGATTGGGCAAGGCTCCTAGACATCGCCCAATTCTCTTATAACTTGCAGCGGAGTGAGTCCACGGGGCGGACACCATTTGAGCTAGCCACAGGCCAACAACCACAAACTCCATATTCATTACCAGGTGCGTTCGAGGGAAAGAGTTTGGGGGCTTATCATATGACCAAAGGATGGGAGGAGCAGCTTGACACTACTAAGTCCTACTTGGATAAGGCAGCTAAGAAGATGAAGAAGTTTGCGGACCGTAAATGGCGTCCCACGGACTATAGAGTTGGGGACATGGTCATGGTGAATTTTAACCCAAGACAGTTCAAGGCACTATGGGGCATGCATCAGAATTTGATTCGCAGGCATGAAGGGCCATTTAAGATCGTCGCCAAGGTAGGCAAGATCTCATACAAGCTTGACATGCCATCGTATCTTAAGATCTACCCTGTCTTCCATGCCAGCACGCTTAAGCCATATCATGAAGATAAGGATGATCCGAGTAGGAGCCAATCAAGTCGAGCGCCAATGACTATCACCGCCTCGCATGATCGGGAGATTGAGGCTATTATGGATTACCAGGCCAGGCGAAAACAAGGGCAAAAAGCCACCGCTATGTTCCTCGTCCATTGGAAAGGGCAACCACCGGAGGAGGCCACGTAGGAACGATATGAAGACTTGTGGCAATTCAAAGATAAGATCCGAGAGTTTATGTAGCAGCATTGCGCCGCGGTCGTCGCAATATTAGGTGGGGGATAGTATGATGACCCGCCATGTCATCATGCCACATAGACGCCATTTGGCATATATTAATGCCATGTGGAAGCTTACATAAGAGGAAAGCTAGCATTTGTGAGAAGATTCTAGAGAAATATGGATATTTCCTTAGGAAGACCCTAGATCCTTATGGATTTGCTAGGAAAGTCCTTAGAACCTTCTAGGCTTGTAGAAAATTCTAGAGAAGGGACTTACTTGTAAATATTAAGGACTTGTGGAACAATTATTATTTACACACTAGCCCCTAGGTGATTAGTATAAATAGGGGGGCCATTCATTTGTAATTCATCAAGAAAACAATTCAAGTTCTCTCTAATACAAAGCTTCCTTTAGCAATTCTCTTGTGTTCTTTCTACCATTCTCTTGGCGATCTTGAGTGTAGTAAGGCTGACTTGGCATAGCAAGAACGTGAGCAAGTTGTGCAAGATCATGAGCGAGTTGTCAAGTGTCGCACGTGTACTTAGCTAACGACTAAGGACGTGACAATAAGCTCAAGATTAAGTCTTCTTCCTCCTAAGCTCTTCACTTTTTATGATTTCCAAAAGAATGGCATTTGTGAACTCCTTATGCTGTAATTATTAAATAATAAAAATAACATAAGAATAAATAACCTACTCCCAAACCAATATGCAACTTACCAAAGTTGAGCAAATGTATATGAAATTATCAATACTCACACTTCCTGAGGTTCAGCTGATGACTTTTCCCATATTAACGTTGCATGGCATAACCATCTTTTGGGATCACTCAAAGGAGATTTAACAACTTTCTTAGTTTGGAAGGACTCTATTTGTTAGAAGCAGCTTAACAACGCTAATGAATTTGATACAGAAAGCACAACCACCAGTTGGACTTTTCTTCATAGGCAAATAACACAACTTCTTTGACATAAGTCAATATCTAGAGATGACAACAAGTCAATCTACAGACAAGAGCGCACACTACTCTGACTGGAGAGAAGTGGAGGAGCAATGTTAAGGCAGTGCAATTAAATATGTAATATCAGAACTGTCAGACTCACACTAGGGTAGTGGAGTAGTGTTCAGAATGAGCTCCTCACAGGGTCAAATCCAGATAGCTTTTAGTTCACCACATTAGAAGTGTCAAATGAGATTAAACTCGTGGTAAATAAACAGAGTTCTTCGGTCAAAGATACTTCAACAATTCTAACCTGAGTATGATTCAAAGTTATCTTTGAGATTCCTTGTGTCCGGAGGTTACAATGCTCATCCTGTCTTTCATATACACTAATATGTTTGTCTAGTTTCATGTTTGTCGACTTCATGTTAACCTCGTCTAATATAAGTTCCATAACATAACTAAGAGACTTCATCCCTCGTCATAGTAGCTCCTCTCCTTACAGTCAGGTTGCATACACTCCACTTAAATTATTCTGTTGGGAGAATGTACCGCAGTTACTGATTGATACATTGCTCTAATTTGGTCGAACATATGTTGCCAATGATGGCAGATTTTCGAATCAAATGTCTGAATGAAAAATGATCCCCCCCCACCCCACCCCCCCCACCCCCCCACCCCCTAAAAAAAAAAAGAGACCCTCAGAGAAATATATTTTTCAAAGAATGTCCAATGATACTACAATTCCATGTGATAAATCACGGACCACATGTGAATTAGATTTCCAGATATCAGATAGGCGAACTGAGTGGTTAGTGCAGAGAGTCTTTCCAAACTCACCATATGCCGGAGGATTTGCGATAATTGCTTGTGCCCTGAAAGGTTCACCAGTTTCAGTATCTGGCTCAGTGCAAGCCGGAAGAAGAGATTCAATTATAGCTTTTATCTGTTTTCGTTGTACAGATATCTCTCCTGGCGCAGAAGGAATGAGACCTTTGTTCCTGGCCATATCTGCAAATCAACAGAAAATAGAAAACTTAGTCCACATTAATTGATTTTATCAGCAAACAGGAACTCTATATTACCATGTCACAAAGTTCCAAAGTTCTCTTCTACTTGTACAAGTATGTGAAGGAGCGCACTTCATACTAGATTCCAATACAAACTTTGACTTTTACGTATGTTGAAAAGTTCCCAAAATCTTAAGCGAAATTTCCCAGCTGCCATTAAATAAATACTCCCTCCGTCCCAATTTATGTGGCACCGTTTTAATAGGCACGGGGTTTAAGAAAGAAAGGAAGACTTTAGAAATTTGTAGTCTAAAACATAACATTAGCCATTTGTGTGGCTATAAATAGTCTCATTAAGGGTAGAATGGAAATTTTGAGTTAAATTGTTTCTAGATACAGAAAGGTAATATTCTTTTTGGGACAGACTAAAAAGGAAAAAAGGAAAGTGTATCAGATGGGGAAGGGGGGTGGTTAACAGAAAAAAAAAAAAAAAAGCTTGATATAACCACGATTGATCATATGATATGTTAGAGTGTTCCGCATTAGTTGGAAGTGTGGCTATAGCCTCTTTATAGTCTTGGACAGCCCTCACCTCATGAGCCAATAACTTTTGAGATTCAGCTAAGGTCCATCTTCTTAACTTGGTATCGGAGCTATACCTGTCATTACTGTTGTGCTACCTAATATAGGCGCTATGTTAATTATGTTATCCATGCTCCGTGTAGTGCCTGGCGTGCCAGGACGCGAGGGGGAAGGAGTGGGTTAAAGTGTTCTACATTAGTTGGAAGTATAGGATGTAGTCTCTCCTTACACAATCTTGGTCAATCCTAACCTCATAAGTTAACTTTGGAGGTCAAATTATTCCCGCAGTCCATCTTCTTTAATTGGATAGCAAGGACAAGAAACGCTCTTAATATCCCTAGCATGGAGAAAGCTCTGAAGAATCAATTTACCCATCCTAGCTGTCATGAAATATTACCACCGGCATAGGTGGCCCAAACCTATGCTACATGAGTCCTTCATTTAACTTAACGTACTTGAGTAAGATGTGTGTGAAACAGGTGTGAGAACTTTATGCGGATTCTTTGAAACACACCAAAAATTTGCAGAAAACTACGCTTACCGAAACCAGATACTTGCACACCCATGCCTAATACATACCCATAGCAAAGTACACATAAAATAGGCAAAAACAAGAAAGATAAAAACGAAGAAGCATGCCAAAGACCTCTTACATCCTGCCAATATCCGAGGATCACCACCCAATGGGTAGAATTCTACGCCTGCTGATTTTACAAAATCGCGGAAGTTAGAATGAGTTGCCAGCCTGACACGATGACCAAACGCCTGTCAATGCATAGAACTAATCAGAAACTGAACAAATAATTAACTCAACGAACGAACAATTTCCCTACCAAAATACGACGATATTAAAGTGCAAATTCAACAAAATTCTACGCCAATGAGAGTGAAAGAAACGTACATAAAAGATAAAACTACCAGAAATATGGAAATGCAAAATTTATACTTGAAATATTTTCAATTATTTCATTAGAAATTCAAAATTTAACCACAAAAGTGACGAGAACATTAAATAGTAAACAAGGAAATCATCGTGCCCCAAAAGAGGCCAACAGAAAGAAATAAAGCTAATCCAACCTTACACAGGGAAAAAAATTAAATCTGAAGGTATCAACACTTGAAGGAGCATACATCTATATATCTATCTATCCATATATATAAAATGAAAGTGATGTTTGGGCCAGCTTGCACGCACCTCAACTATTCTATCGGGTATATGCTACCTACCAAGTGCCGATACTGGGTAACTCTGCCCACAGGGGAGGAGGGAGAGTAGAACCTACAGGTTCGGCCGAACCCAGCAGCTCTGGTCCAAACCATGTATTTGTCTTAAGAAATTCATTGAATATGTACTAATTATTAATTTAGAGCCTAGTAACTTAAAAGATTTAAAGTCTCGAACTCATAAGTTTCAAATCCTGACTCCACCTCTGTTAGCCCACAAAGAGTTTAGGCAGATGGGAAGAAATCACCTAGTGGATTTTGCCTCCGCTGGAATTTAAACCTGAGACCTCATGATTCTCCTCCCACTTCATTGACCACTAGGCTACTGGAAAGAGCATATTTAGAATGTCTTACCAGTCAATTAAGAAAAGTTGTCAACTCTCGTGCCATTGAAAAAGACTGAACATGCAAGCAGAGAATTTTCCTAGCACATATTAATTTCAAGGCCAAAGTGACCTATGTTTTTAGTATTTGCTTCATCCATGTAGGTTCAAGTTTAACTCTAAATTCTAAAAACTATTTCCATATATACAATGGAATGAAATGTCAATTGGTTATTGCCCAGGTCCAAGGTAAGCCCATCCTGTTACTTACAGCCCTCCACCTTAATCAATTTTAACATTCTGCGACTAAAGAGAACGGAAAAGTGGAGAAACTAAGTCTAGAAAAATAGTACATTCCATCTAAGAGACCACCCAAACAAACTGTCACACAAGAAAAGCGAATATTAGGGCACTGCAGGATCACTTGGGTATTTCTGGAAAGAACGCTGAAAACCATAAAATGCAGTGATATAATCATAAACGCAAGTATAGTTGGTCAAGAAGCAAAAGACATCAAACACATTATGAGAGCTACAGTTATAAACATGGTGAATTAGAACTCCCAACATGCCTGAAGTCTCTTGGCCATGGCCAAAAATGGTTGAACATCTCCCCTGGTTCCAACAACAAGCACCGCAATTTTCAACTTCGGAACTGACTTATTAAAATCCGTGATAATCCTGTCTACAGTAGGAATGGTTCCTTCAAAGGATTGTAGTTCCAACAATTCAGAAGCTACAGGTGTACTCTTAGTAAGGTCAACCTCCACTGTTCCATCTCTTTGTATCCTTACCAGCTCCACAATGAGCTTTTGCTGGTGGCATTAAGAACAGAAGCAAATATGAGAAAAATGTAAATGAATAACAAGGAGCCAGCAATGGAATGGCAAGAAAATGGGAAAGCATATCATTTTCCAAATGCATCAAGTAAAAAAGGACCACATAATTATGTAGGTTTCTCGAGGTGCCTCCTTTTGAGGCCGCAGAGGGGCAGTCCTGTGCCTCCATCAGACAGACAGATAGTAAGAATTCTTAGCCCTTCAGTTGGTTGCTAATTTTTCATATACGGACATGGAATCAGGACGAATTTGTGTGATTGTGAGCACAAAAATTTGTCTTTATTAAAGATGGTAGTTTTTATTTCAGCCACTTGTTAAATTGCAACTTGACTCAGCAGGGCCCTACAACATACATATCGACTCCATAAGTTAAAAAGGAAGAAATTAGCTCAAAAACTAAATGGTCGAAGCAAAGTTGTATCAGTAAGTCTAAATAAGAACTTGGTCAATACAATTGAAAGCTTCACATTGTCTAAGCATCATTTGAGACCATAATTCTCAACTTTCTAGGATTCTTTTAAGTTTTACTGGTTTAGCTAAACACTATTTACTTAGATAACAAGCAGTCTCAATTACTCCTTTTTCACTTCCAATATGAGCCTTTTCTACTCCTTTTTGGTAAGGATCAACTTTTTCTACTCCTTATTGCTCTCTAACACTAAAGAAGCTTTTCACGCTTCAAGTTACAATCAACTATAAGAAAGTCAAGCTAACATCAGCGTAAAGGACAAAAAATTAAACTCTAACAAGTCGCAACAACTTCTAAAACATTGACATGCATATCGTAATCAAGACAAGAAATGCTATCAACTCTTACATGTTGTACCCTTGCTAATACATTAACCCAGATATAGTTTCAGATTATTAAAGAATCTCACAGGGAAATCACTACACAATTGGTTATCAGAGCATAGGCGCTGCAAAGCTGGAGACATTCTAACTTTGCAAAACTTACCTTCTCACGTTCAGAAAGTCTATCCAATCTCCTCTCAGTCATAGATCTTGAAAATGCCATATCCTGGCCTTCAAGGAAAAGACTTCTGCGAGCAGTCACAGGTGCAGTAATGCAATGCTCCAAACCTATAAGTAGAACAAATGTCTGGTGTATGAGAGAGGAAAACATCTAAACCAGTAAACCACAACTGTCAGCTTTATCCCCATCAACAGAGATATAAATGACTTAAAGCCAGTAAGGAAAAGAAAAAAACAAAAAATCGTTTGCAGCTAGTTCACTAGGTTTGTTACAACTGCTTATAGCCTTATAGATGACCCAATCAATATTGCTAATTACCAAATAATACTCAGAGGTTCTGAAGTTTCATTTCAAGAGCATTTCGCCACTCTAGACATGAAAACATTGTCAGTGCTACAGCATACTGGCAGAATACCCCAAATGTGCTACAGGAGATAGCTTTTAGTTTGGAGGGAGGAAAGTGGAGATGATGTGGGAACTGGGAAAGAAACATACTAGAAAATCTACAGTGTACCTTGGCTTTTAGGGAAGCACAAAAGAAACTGTGAACTAGTTAAAAAGCAGCCTGATTTACCCTCTTGTATGGAGAAGGAGAAGGTAGAGCTAGTACTCTGGAGGCTTTTGGATATTAGAAATTTTTCTTGTTTACAATTGCTTGTCCAAACATTGGTTTTAATCATGGTTCCATCTTTTAGTAGCTTAGTTCGACATCTTTCGTTTGTCAAATTTGTCATAAATTTCTTTGACGCATTTATTTTCTTTGCATACTGCTCATTTCCTTTCGATAGGAAGTTCTATTTCCGTGTTAATTATCGGGAGTTCACTAATATCTTTTATGGTAGGGGTAAAACTTGTCAATATAGAGCACTGGGCAGAATTCCTGGTCCAAAGACATTTGGACCAACGATGCCGATGAATGTAATTTAGGTTATGAAACTATAGAGTTCAGCCTCTTTATGGAATATATGACCCTTAAAGTAACTTCAACACAATCAACAAGCAGAAGGTAGATAATAAGGAAGCAAGATTTTCGACAGATAGCTGTACAGAGATGTATAACTCAAGGATTTCATGAGACAGATAACAATGACAAAGGGCATAATTTGACCTTGAGATGAAGGTCAACGAACCCTCCTTTTAGGAAGAGAGTTGCAAGATGAGGCACAGTTCTATTAAAAACATTCTGAAAGTTTGGAGGAAAATTAATGAAGAATAAAGATAAGATGAAACATAGAAACATTTGCAGAAAATTTGACAGAAAATTCTTTCTCTGGAGAACCTTAACTCGCAGTGAAGCATAAGCTCTGTACAGGGGAATGTTAAGACGGTAATTTTGATCATGGAGCTGGCCAAGTCAGTGTTGCAGGGTTTATCCACAATATAGAGAGGAAGTAAAACTTCTATCGTCATTCCATCTAATCTTGGATAGGTCATCTGAGGGTTCGCCTCAATTCATTGTTGTACTTACACGCAAGACTACCCTTCTCCTTTTTCATTTACATCCTTGCCAATGACATTTGCCAAGGACTAGGACTCCTATTCTAAGCTTATTAATCCAAGAGAACACTAAGCTAAATGCACAAGGAAGAAGAATTTTGATTGCAGGTTTTCTCAAACTCATTAGGGTATATAAACAGATAAAAGCTTAGAAAGCTGCAAAGCACTAACCTCCCCGAAGTCGAGGTGGGGCACTAGAAGGCTGTAGCGGATGAGTTCTCTGATATTTCACTTCTGGAGTCAAACACTCGTCAGAATGCTCATCCGAAGACCTAATGCCCACAAGTGGTGAAGTACGTGTCCTCTGGCCATCTAATTCATCTGAGAAAACAGCATCAGACCGTTCATCAGCATTACTAGGCACTTCCAAATTACTTATGCTCAACTGTTTATCAAGCGACTTTTTATCCAACTGAACCAACGAACCAACATCACTGGTCCAGTCCAAACTCTGACCAGTAGTTTCAACCCCATCCTCTATGTTTTTATAGGTTTTAGTTGAGCCATTCCCATTACTATCCATTTCATCTGATGAACTCCAGAACCACTGAAACTCACCAGACTTACTCACCTAGGGTTCAAAAATTGCAAACATAGGCAACAATTTTAGTCCAAAACAAGAATAAATCCAAATTCAGTAACATAGATCAAAATTTGCTGATAACGAGCAAAATACCAGCAACCACACTATTCATAAAAAAATCCCGTGCATCAAAATCTGCCTAGAAACTGCAAAATTTCAGCAACCCCAGAATGCAGTACACTTTTATACACCAAAATCAACCAAAATTCAGCAACTCCACAATGAAAAATCAAAACTTGATGCTACAAACTGAAGAATTCACCAAGTTTAAGGCTGAAAATTGAAAAGCTAATCTGTATTCTGCAAAAAAAAAAAAAAAAAGAACACAACCAAACAGTCAACATCACGCCTAGAATGTTTGCTGTAATAATAATAACTACAGGAAACTCACAGAATACATGCCCAAGTTATTATCTGTAGAAAACAAGAGAAAAACTACAAATCATAATTAAGTTATAAAAAGAAAGGGAAAATCCTACAAGACAAAAGATATTTTTTAGCTGAAAAGACTAGAATCTGGGAAATTCTTTTGGGCAATTCAAGAAGAGGAATCCTCAACTACCATACAGGTGTCAACCATTAAATAACCAACAAAAAGAACTTTTCTCAACTATTGTTTTTCCTCTTATATGATTGAAAAAGACTAAGTCGAACTTGGAAATTAACTAAAGAAAGGAGATGAAAATCACCACTAATTATGTGTGAGAATTCATAAGAAAGAAAACCTTTTGGAGGGAAGGGAAAAAAGGATTGGCGTGTGGTTTATTGTAAAAAGAAACTTCACTCCTTTGTCTGGTTATGGAGCAACACTGGATATTTTTGAAAGCTGATGTAAGAAGTCTTGGTTTTTTAATGACGTTTTATTTTCAATTAAAGATTTTTAGTTGTACTGTAAACAGGAATAAAGTGGGAAAAAGGAAAAAAATTTAGCAGTAATCAATTATAACACGCATGTTTGGCAACGATTTAATGGAATTTATTCACATTTATATATTGTTGTTCTGTAACTAGCTGGCACATTTATATTATTACACGTAGGAGTATGATTAGTTGGTAGCAGAATATTCAAAGTACGGTTAGGTTATTTTGGTCAATGGCCAAAAGGTTAGAGAGTTAGATTTTCAGTTGTTAGTATTATTTATTTTGGAAGATAATTTTATATTGTGGATTAATTTCTGCTGGATTAGTCAGCCAATAATATTCCAAGAAGAGTCTTTTTAAAGCTTTTTGTAGTGCTTGCTTGAAAAAGATGAGACAAATAGACAATAGAATGTGTAGGGTATGATGTACTGGGGAGCAATTTTTCCAATAAAATGTAGTCATTCTGAGCTGTGGATAGACTATTATCTGTCCTTTTAATGCCTATTGGTGCTGTACATTTTGCTTTCACATGTTTGTAAGAGTATGAAGTGCATGTGAGCTATGGGGTAGGTGGGCAAATCAGCCGTTAAAATTATACTCGCGTTCCATAAAAATTTACAAAGTTTACCTGCCAGAATCTGAAGTAGTTTTATACGTTCAATGCAACTTTCAAAATCGCATCTTAAGTTCTTTTATTTTTTAAATGCAGCTTTAGAAATCAAATTTTAAATTCTTATATCTTTCAAATGCAACTTCACAAGTTTAAATTTTCAATAATTCAATCTCTTCAATACAACTTTAGAAATCAAATATTCCCTCCGTTTCAATTTAGATGAGGTAGTTTGTCTTGGCACGGAGTTTAAGGGAAAAAAAAAAGATTTTTGAGACTTGTGGTCTTAAAAGCTTAAGGGTAAAAGATTTGTGGGGTCATGACATTTGTGTGCTTATAAAAACTTCTCATTAAGGGTAAAACGGTAAAATGAAGAGTTTAAAGTTGAATTATTTTTAAATTTTAAAATGTGTCATTTATTTTGGAACAGACTCAAAAGGAAAGTAGCTCATCTAATTTGAAACAGAGAGAGTACTAAGTTTTTCAATCTTTTAAATGCAACTTCAAAAAAATTTAAATCTTAAGTATAGTTAAATATTTTCAATGCAACTCAATATTTTGAATCTTAAGTTCTGAAACATAAATTTGTTAGTCGAAATTCAATAATCTAACACACGATTCAACCCACAAATCTACTCCAAAAGAGCTCAAATTTGAAACATAACCTTAAAATATCATAGATAACAAACTCCAATCATCAAAGTGTCAAAATAATCACAAATCTAACAAGCTCATTTTGTAAATAATAATAATAATAATAAGGAGAAGAAGAAACCCTAAGCACAACCTGCAATAGTGCTTTGCAACCAAGAAGAAGAAACCAAAAGGCTCCTGGATACATGGGACATGAATACAGAAAGCAACATCAAAGCTCCTGGATACAGGTGTAACGATCCGACCAGTCGTTTTGAGTATTTGCACTTCGCTCGGTAGTTCGGGTGCACGAGTAGCTCCGTATGATGTATTGGGACTTGTGTGCAAAATTTGAGTTCATTTCGAGTTGATTTGATATGTTTCGGCGTGACTTCTAAGTCGAAAGTTCGAAAGTTCATTAAGTTTGATTTGAGGCGCGTTTCGTCGTTTCAATGTAATTATGCATGATTTGAGGTCTCGAGTTGGTCCGTATTATGTTATAGAACTTGTTGGTATATTCGTAACGGGTCCCGAGGAGCTCGGGTGAGTTTCGACTAGGTTTGGGCTGTCTTGCGCTCGTTTTTCTTATGTTTCAACGTCGTTTCTTCAAACATAAATGGTACCACATAAAACAAATGAGCTCCAATTTTTGTTTTGATTGAAGCATTAGATATGTATCATAATTATAGAGCCATAGCAAAAAGAATAATCGAATTTGGACATCGTATTAGGAATTTATGGTCATTTTACTAAGAATTGGGTTGCCAGATTTTTTTAGATTAATTACGAAATTGTCACTGGATTCGTATTTAAAAATCTGCACTATCTGCAAAATATTGAAACCAACATATCTCCTTTATTATAAGGTCAAATGGAGTGATTCAAAAGCCTAACTTGACTAAAATTTCACAAGGAATCCATTGTAGGCATTAAAAGTGAGTTTTGGAATCGTTTGGCATGAGAAACGAGGCAGAATAGCTGGCAGAAAAATATATAAAATAATGGTTTGTTCATTTGGTCATATTTTGAGTTGGGGAGCTCGGATTTGGGCGATTTTGGAGGTGATTTTCACCATATGGATTGGAGTAAGTGTTTTCTACTCGGTTTTAGTTATACTTCGTGAATCCATCTTCATTTTTGGCATTTGATTAATGATTTCAAAGTGAAATTTGGGGCATTTTGCCTAAAGTTTCATAAAGTGAATTTTTAAGTTTCGATCATCGATTCGGAGTCGGAATTGCGTGAAACTAGTATGGTTGGACTCGTAATTGGATGGGTCATCGGATTATATGAGTTTTGACGGGTTCCGAGGTGCGGTCCCGGGTTGGGCTTTTTGGTCGATTTTGGGCTTTGATTAAATATTCGGCCTTTTTCGATTGGGATTGGTTCCTTTAGCATTGTTTGTTGTATTTGAGATGTTTTTGGTTTGTTTCGAGCCGTTCGGAGGTTGGAACGCGCGTGCTGAAATTTTTGGAGCATCGCTTGGCCTGCTCGGTATTGGAAATTGGCTTGTTCGAGGTAAGTAACTCTTCTAAACTTAGTGTTGAGGGTATGAAGCCTCGAATTACGTGTTATGTGATTGGTATTGAGGTGACGTACATACTAGGTGACGGGCGTGTGGGCGTGCACCCTGTGAATTATGACCGTTGTTTCCATGGCATTGTATAATGGCCCAATCTTATTGTTATTTGTGTTTTCACCACGTGATACAATCATGCTAGATATCATGTTAGGCTTTATGCCGATACTGTTGGGACCCATAGTAGTCATTTATTGTCGTCATCTCACTGATTTTACTCATATGTCCATACTCAGTCATATTCATGCATTCATATCATATCTCAGTCTCAGTTGTTATTTATTGATACATCATATCATTATTGTCGGGCTAGTTTCATGACACTATGAGCCCGTGAGTGAGACTGGAGAGATTGAGGACTGAGTGAGGCTGAGAGCGTGATTATGAGTGACATGGGATCGGGCTGCACGCCGCAGCATATTATATTGATTACATTTTATGTAATCGAGTTGCACGCCGCAGCGATATAGCCCTTGGGCTGAAGGAGCCCCTCCGGAGTCTGCACACCCCAGTGAGCGCAGTCGACTATGTATATATATATATATATGGATCGGGTTGTATGCTACAACGAGCCTTATGGCTATATTTATGTGGATCGGGTTGCACGCCGCAACGAGTATTGTCAGTGTTGAGTGATTGTCAGTGCTGAGTATTGAGCACCGTAAGAGATATGCGAGACAATAAGGTTAAGTACTCTAAGAGTGTGAGTACATGAGTTCATCACTGAGAGGCATTGCATTTGACATGCGTACTTGAAATACATGCATATAGATGCATTTCCTTTTTGCTGCCCGGTTTTGGTGACATTCATGATTTTTACCTGTATCTTGACATGTAGGCATAGAGATGTACTTTCATCATGCTATCTGAAAACGAAACATTATTTGGATAAAATGACTTTGGGAATAATTACAGTTTTTAAATTATCTCATATTTTTCGACAATTTTGGTAAAAGATTTTGGTTTTCACTGATACTCATTAAAAGCGAAACTATTTTCGGAAAAAACTATGAAAAGGCTGAGCATTTTATCTCTGAGTTACTTCCTTATTTATATGCTCTACATTGTTATGAGTTGTTGTTGGCTATTGGTGTTGGACCCGACCTATGTTCCAACTCGTCGCTACTTTCAACCTAAGGTTAGGTTTGTTACTTACCAGTACATGGGGTCGGTTGTACTGATACTACACTTCTGCACATTGCGTGCAGATATTGACTATTGGTGTTGTTGTGTTCGATGGTTGCTGGATTGGAAGATGTATCTGTGTCCCCGTTGTAGCTGCCTCTTGTTCATGGTAGCCTTAGATTTTAAAACTCTGTTTATGTGCTTTTCAAATAGAAAGCGTATTTAGTTCATATCAGCTTTGTAAACTCTATTCTTAGAAGCTCATGATTTGTACTACCAGTCCTTGAAAAATGTATAAGTTTCAGATATTTTCATCCACTTAATTGTTTTATTAATTTAATTGGAAATGGATAATTGTTAATTGGCTTACCTAGCGGGTTGGGTTAGGTGCCATCACGACTAGTTGGATTTTGGGTCGTAATAGATTGGTATCAGAGCTCTAGGTTCATAGGTTCTACAAGTCATGAGCAAGTGTCTAGTAGAGTCTTGCGGATCGGTATGATGACGTCCATACCTATCTTCGAGAGGCTACAGAGCATTTAGGATATACTTTCTATCTTTCCTTCCTTATCGTGCGACATTGATTAAGCTTGAAGCGTAATCCTTTGAATTCCTTCCACGCATTCGTATGCGCACTTGAGCGCTCGGTATCAGCTGTGCATCGACGGCTTGTGATTCCTTGGATGAGGTGCGAGATGTGATTTCTGTGTGTTGATGATGGGCCAGTCTGGAGGACTTGAGGTCGGGTTTTGACTATAGCTTGAGCATTGAGGTGTTGATTGTGTGAGCATGTGCTTTTGGATTTATATGTTCGGAAGTGTCCCTATTAGTGGAATTTGTGGCTGGATGGTTACGTGATGAGTATGATGTGACTGCGAGATATGTTCATATGATTTGATTGTGACGAGAAGGGTTTGCTTGAGGTGTAGAAAGAACTATTTGGTGCTTGATTTCCATCTTGATTTGACGTATAGTCTCGAGTTATGGGTGTGTTGAAGGATCCTTTTCATGTTGTTTAGTTGAGGAGTGGAGTAGATTTTCATGTCGTGATATGAGT